TTGTTGTGCATAATCAAACTGCGGATCATATCTGAAAGCCAGTCTGTTGCTGTTAGCTAAAATTCGATTGCGAACTCTATTTGTGGACAACTGCTGTCTCTCTGCCTGAGCTCTAAGTCGCTGCAAACGCTCGACACTCGACTCTCTTTCGCGCAACTGAGAGGTCCTTATATTTTGTTCATGAAGACGTTGGGAACGCTCCAGGCTAGACTCTTGACGGGCGTAGCTCAGAGGTTCTCAAGCTTTGTACGGCAAGGCGTTGCGAACGCTCGACACTCGACTCTCGTTGGCGTAAGTCAGAGGTTCTTACATTTTGTTCATGAAGACGTTGGGAACGCTCCAGCCTCGACTCTTGAGCGCGTAGCTCAGAGGTTCTCAAGCTTTGTACGGCAAGGCGTTGCGAACGCTCGACACTCGACTCTCGTTGGCGTAAGTCAGAGGTTCTTACATTTTGTTCATGAAGACGTTGGGAACGCTCCAGCCTCGACTCTCGTGCACGTAACTCAGAGGTTCTCAGATTTTGTTTTGCAAGGCGTTGTGAACGTTCGACACTCGACTCTCGTGCGCGTACCTGAGAGTTTCTCTGATTTTGTTCAGCAAGGCGTTGTGAACGTTCAGGTGAAGATTCTCCCATACGACGTATTTTTGCTGCCCGTGCTTGAGAACTATGTTTAGAAAGTTGAGACCTGGCTCTCTTAGGCATTTTCAAATGTTTAAGATAATGTTATTAGCGTGTAATATTCTAGCTCTAAAAAGAACTGTTGGTTAGTCCTGAAAAGAACTGTTGGTAAGCCCTGAAAAGAACTGTTGGTTAGCACTGAAAAGAACTGTTGTTTAGCTCTAAGAAGAACTGTTGTTTAGCTCTAAGAAGAACTGTTGTTTAGCTCTGAGAAGAACTTTTGCGTAGGTGTAGTTTAAAGAACGAAACCTAAAAAAAATCGCACAAAATTATTAGACTTCACGCACGACCGCTGCGTAGGGAGCCGACCGCGCGACTGAGCCGCGCGGGTACCTTACTCATAGATCTAAACTCCCCCTCCCACACGCTCACCGGGCCTTGGTAACGCCTACTTCGCAACGGGCCGTGCAGCAGAAATCGTAATATTTTAATTTCGCTATAACTTCAGAACCAAACGTCCAATTTTAATCATTCAAAGACCAAATATTATCTACATTAACTGTACTTAGTGATGAAATAATTTATTTTGATAAGGATTAATAGCATGAGTAAAATAAACGCGTTTAAATGTAGTCCAAAAAAAAATCAAGATTTTTCAATAAAAAAATGGTTATTGTGCCTCACTCGACATAGATAGGTATAGTGTGTCGCGGACTTTTTTGTAGATATTTATAAGATCTACAATTACTTAGAACATTTTATGGTTCTATCTTTAATAGTTTAGGCAGGGTACGCAAAATAAGTAACTTTTTTGGTTGATTTTTTACACCTTGTGTCCGAAAAACCCTAATATCTTACGGAACCCTATTTTTGTTCAAAATTAAATATAGCCTATATTACTCGTGGATAATGTAGCTTTCGAATGGTGAAAGAATTTTTAAAATCGGTCCAGTAGTTTATGAGCCTATTCATTACAATCAAACAAACAAACAAACAAACAAACAAAGTTTTCCTCTTTATAATATTAGTGTAGATTATTTTCGCCATTTTGGAATTTGGAAGTTTGGCTCCAGTTCACGCGCAATTCTTCCAGAATACAGGTGCGTTTCGCTGCTTACGCGCATCTTAATTATTTATCGTAAGATAATTATCGTATTATCGTAAGATAAATACAATTACTCAAACAATTTACTGTAAAATTGACACTTATTTGTTAATTGACTTTGTGTGTGTAAATAGTGTTTTTAAGTACGTTTATTTTTATTATTTTTTCACTGTGATATTGACCCGCGTGCAACGTTGTCACTCTTCCAAGGGGTCAAGGTACGTTGTCTAAACAGAGTGTTTACTTTTACTGAATTTATTTTAATATTTATTTTGTTTGAAAATTTCACTTTTTTATTTTACGGGTTTTAATTTAATATTTAATTTTAGACTAGTATTACTTGTGGTTTAATTTATTGCATATATGTGGGACCCCATTCTGTATATATATGGGCCATTCTCAAAACCGGACTCAAAATTCTAAAAAAAAATTCTTTTGATATTATTCCAAATAGTCTCAAATGAAAGGTATTTTGTCTTACATTACGAAGCACATAATAGCCTGGCTATTTTCTCAGTAGTTTTCACAAAAAAGGTGAAAAATGAAAACAGCTATCCATGAAAGTGACACACCTCCACGGTAGTGACATATTTCTATAATTTTAATAAACTATGAATGATTTATTAACGAATAAAACGATATTTTTTTAATTATTATATTTATTCTTTTTTATTCATCTAATCACTATGGTATTTATTTACGATTAATCAATATTATGTTAATTATACATATTAAAAATAAGTTTTATATGAACACAAGTCGGTTAAGTCTTTTATTCAGTTCTGTTTGGTCACATAGACAACCTTTTAATAGTAAATAAATTATTATTAATCAACATTATTTAGTTGGCATATAACTTTGCAAAACTCTTACAAAATAAAGTATCTGAGACTTTTAAAATTATCATAAACGAGTAAACCATAATAAACTAATAAAAAGTAGTAATAACTTAATCAGCTTTAAAAAAATCAAACACTGCGAAGAATCTTATTCATTAAATAATTTTAGCGAAGATGAGAGAATGAACTTAACAAATTATTTTTGAAGTATGTTACATTTCTTCGACCGCAATGTGGTTGTGGTAAAATAGCAATATTTTCACCATTGACCTCCGAAATATCTTCACACTGTGGCCAAACAAACTCCGTGTACTCATCATTACACTTTTTCTTTCTCAAAAACTTGATCAAATACTTAGAATCCACTGCGGTGACAATTTGACCAATGTAAAATACTTCTGTCTTTTTGCAGACAAATTTAATCACAGCCCAGTTGCCTTCGATCAATTCCCGGTTAGAAGCTACAGCTGTTATTTGAGATTTGCCAGATATGTTGCGTTTTTCAGTTAATATCACAGTATTTTCTAACACTTCATGTGGGATTTCACGACTAGGGCAAGGAAGAGATTTTTCATCGATGACACTTCGTATATACTTTCACTATATACTATCACATTTTGCACAGCTAAGTTGTCTTAAAAATATGGAATTGTCTTCATTCTTCGTCCAAGAGACTTGATAGGTATTCATTATTCCTCGGATTGGTTTTAAATTCTTGGGAACGATAGAGTCAATTTGTACAATATCACTTTCGTGTACTAACATGTATGTAATGTTTGATTCCTGTGAACATAGCACCTGAAATCTGTATGACTTTAATATCTTTTCCTTGGGAAACAAATCTATCGGCAGTTCTTTTAGTATAACCGCCTACACCATCAGGTGCTCCTTTGCCATGACCAGAGGCTGAATAAGACCATTCAGCTTTCCGCAAATTAAAAACTTTAGGCAAGAGGTTGCTAAAAATGTAAATCATGCTTTTGTTGCGATATTGTGTGGACGGAGCGTCGCTGAAGAAATGCACACCGTGTATTGGTGATCTTTTGTTAATTTCATGTAGAATGGGTAAGACGTGAGCGTACACAGCACAGGCATCGTGGCGAAGATTTTCCGATAACGTACAAAAAGAGCGCGTGACAACTTGATCACTGGTCAAATCGCGGTAATATGCAACTATTGTAAGTAATGTCAGTTGCTGGCGGGAAGTTCCAAAATGTACGGATTGAATTTCCTGAAAATATTTTGTCTGGTAATTTTCTGAAAAGTCCGTATGTAGTAATATCTCTCCTACCTCCAAATTCTTCTTCAAGTCCTTGATGTATTCATATAGATTCGTAATAATTTGTTTATGAACCAAAAATTTTGGTATCAGCTCTTATCAAAAGTTTTACCAAATCTACTTTAGTAATTTGAATTGTGTCTTTAACTGTTCTTACAACCAGTTTTTCAGTTCCGTTTATGATCCTTGGTTCTTTTTTGACGACCCATTTTTTATAGTAAGTTGGAGAGTTAATAAAATTATTTAATGTTGGAACTCTGTCTTTACAAACATTACACTGTCTTAGTACACAAATATCCGATTTCATATCACAGACGAATCCTTTAGCAACTTCATCTATTGAACAGTTCTGTAATATACTCAAAAAATATAACTTTTCGACAGTGAAATTCAAGTTATCATCATGAACACACAAACAAGTTTCACGTTTTACAACACTAGCCTGTAAAACCCAAAATAGTTTAAGTCTGCAAAAAGTAGCGTAGCTCATTAGACAGGTGTTTTCAGCTAAAAACTTTTTGTAAAGATTTCCAAGTGAATCATTTAGCAACCTCTTCTGCTTTTTAACCTTGTTCCGTGTAATAACATCTCTTTTGCCAGCCATTAGCCGAGTATTCTCATCGTTCTCAAAGAAATTTACAACAGCAACCTTCTTACCTTGTATTGTTTTCATTTCTCTAACTGTATTCTTCTCGTGTTTCTGATTTTGTGTAACATCGTTATTTTATTCAAGAATCGTTGATACCGTTTCTCTGTTCACTTTCATTCTTATGCGCTTACCTTCTTTTTCAGAGTTGAAATCATCTTTTCTTGAAGTTTCAGATTCTTATTAAAATGTACCTATTACGTTTTGCAGTCTTCAATCCAGTCTTCTTTTGGTATGATGTTGTACTACAATTACTTGGTGAAGCAAGTATCCTAGACGAGTAATTTTCCAACACAGACGGAGATGTCTCTCTGTATGATGGCCAAAGACGGCTTGAGACATAATGAGATCGTCTGCATGAGACTGGAGGAGAATGTATGCTTGATACAGTAGGAGAATGCCTAACTGAAACTGGATCATTTTCAATATCACTTGAAGGTGGTGTATCATCTCGCAAACGGGATAAAAATTTATCCCTGCATTTTCTAGTTTCTCTACATTTTTTTTGCCTCTTACGCCATTCTTTTCGCAATAGGTATGATTTTCTTCTCTTCTTTTCGCTTTCTATAACGGTCTCTTTCTTTAGCTTTAGCCTGTTCGTACAATTGTGGATTGGACTTTATTTTTTCCCGACGTCGCCTCTCACATTCTTTATTCTTGCGTCTGATCTCTTCTTGACTTTTTTTGGTGGGTGCCATAATTATCCTGGATTAAGGAATATTTTATTATAAACAATTTATATATTAATAATTTATCACATTAATAATAATTTTTAAAATACTAAAGAACGATCATACTATTGTCACATCCATGGACATTATGTCACCTCCCTGGATAACCGTAATCCACGTGGGTGACATCTATGGAGGTGACATTTTAAACTTAGACATCGTATTCTCATAATCTCAAATGCTAATAACAAAAAACGACGAAATTCTAAGAAAACGGCTACAATGGTCCATCATTTTAGAATATCCGATAGACCTCAATTAAATAAATACTGTTTGATAAGTAATCCACAAAAGTGACAGAAATTGCATGCTAATTTCAAAAAAATCTCACCTTAAAGGTCTTTACTCCAAAATGATTATCCCAGCAATGAAAAACTGTCAAAATTTATCAAGATGGCGTTGTGTTTGCTGTCTGTATTCGTTCAGAAACTGTGTTTACTGATTTATTGTATTATGGCTGCGTTCAATGAGTTTATCCATGGAGGTGATAATTCTTCCATGCACAAAAGTTATGAAATATTTTGGATTCATTATTTTATTTTTGCTTTAATTATTTGGTATTTTATAGAAAGTTTATACTATGTATTATCGTAAAATAATATGAAGTTATTTATTTATTATTGATATATTAATTTTATTTGAGTCTGTAGTATCATAAAGTGATGTTGCATACGACGTGGAGGTGACATTTTCATCACTTTCTTAGCGATGATTAAAAAAATTATTTTTGTTGTGTAAGTTTTAATAAAAAGTCTATTAATATAACCTACTCCGATCAATTGTAGATAGAAAATATAGAAATAATACAAATATTTCATTTTTTTAATACAAATGCACAAAAAAAAATATGCAAAAATGAGAATGGTCCATATATTATCTAATAATTAGGTAATTATAGAAATTAGATTCTAATTTATTGCGCAAAACACTATTTATATATGAATAAAAAAACTTTATTTATGGAAGTACTATTTATGGTTGGCAAGAAAAACATTTGTGGCTCTTTACAGACTGAAATTTTTTGACCCCTGATCTATCTATACAGCCCGCTGACGCAACCTTTCCCTACTTAAGTAGTGAACGACTGCGTTATGCGATAAAACATGCGACCATTCACCGCCTGGCGCACGCAGCCGTTTGTAAAATTAAAATTAACAAAAAACCGCCGCGTAACGCCCGCCTACCCTCCAACCATGCAACCAATTGCCGATCACCGTAAGGTTAAAAAACGACCATATTGCCTGTTGTCTGTTGTTAGAGAGCAGGCTTAAAGATATTTAAGAGAGGTGAGTTAGAAACATTTTTTAATATCTCGAACTGTTCCAGCACATAGTCGCAGCCCTTTATAACTCGTATGTAATAATTAAAGACGAACTGTAGTAAGTACAGACTATATTAGACTTTGAAGGTGTGGTCGTTAGCTAGGTTGTGTCCAGTGTCCAAATGATGCTTAGCAAAATGGGATATATCGGGATTGCAATTCCTGTACGCGGATAAATGCTCTTTATAACGTGTTTAAAAGTTGCCACCAGTCTGACCCACGTAGACGGCGTGGCATTCACAAACAAGTTTGTAAACACCCGACTTTTGACGAATATCCAACTTATTACAAATATTCCTAAGAGAATTGTTTGTTTTGAGCGCCACATAAACGCCGCTTTTTTGAAGAGTATTAGCTACTTTTTCAGATATGGGGCCTAAGTAGGTCAAACTGCTCACTGCTCACATATCGACGAACACATTGAGGTTGAACCGCGTACAGAGAGTTACGAACAACATGCTTTTATTTCTTTTTATTTAAATTGTTACTGAGATTTTTTTGAAAAACCGTTAGAGACCTCTATTTGATAAATTACATTAAGCTCTTTAAAATAATTTTCTTTACTTAATGGGACAGTGAACAAACGATTAATGTAAAGTAAAGTATAATTTAATACCTTCGATCTCCCAAAAATCGTTAGAGACTATGGTCGTTGATGCGGAGATGGCCACCGGATTTTAAATAATTCGACTGGTACTAAGATATGAAATATGATAAATAGAATATGACGATACTACTACCTGGGTGTTATCGACTATTTCTTTTGTAAATCGTGAATCTAATCCTTGGAATTCTGTAAATGGGATAATCCGACGTTGATTGATGTATGCCACACGGTAGATGATGCAGGAAGTGACGTGGTGTGACCAGAAGTACTTGGCACGGCATTGTCGGGTTCAATGTTACACTAAACACAGAAGACAGACAGAATTCGGCGACGTCGCTTACGTAAACTCGTTAAAAAAAACTTAGCGAGATTTCAGGATTTTTGGACTTTTCTTAGGATTGCGGCTAGATTTTGCAAATCTCAGGGTTTTTATAATTTTCCATAAAATACAGCTTACATTTTGAAGATTGTCTTCAATAAAAACTGAAACAAAGTAAAAAAAGTACCTAATTAATCAGTTTTATCATACTTTATATGTGAAGATACCTTTTTAAGTAAGGTTTTTTTACTATTGATTTATCAAATATCCCACATGTTCATCTCTTCAAATTATATTGAATTAAAAGTATAGCTCGAACTGAAGACACCGTTAGTCAGTTTCTTTCTTTGGACCATTGAGCCCCCATGATAGAAAACGCTCTTTCTACATTTGCATTCTGGGCTGTAATTGCAAGTATAATTATATTGACAAAACGCATTATCTTGAGCATGGTTGCCCACAACGCATGAAGCATTACGTCAAAAAATACTTCTTCTTGTTTTGTTAAAAAACTATTCAGAGCTGCAATTTCATCGAATAATTTCACATCATTGATGTTTGCTCCTTTTATATTCAGACAATGAATTGATAAAACAATCTGATCAAATTCGATCATGTCAATCATTTCGCCCTTTTTCAGATTAACCAATTAAAGACTTTCAAATCATCTAAAGGAAATAAGCGTTACATTTTGGGACGATTTAACGCAAGTTAACGTTAAACGCTAATCCGTTACACGTGATTAAAATTTCATTTTTTATATCGTTAAAATTGTTGGTTTGGGTTCTAGAAGTTAACAGGTTAGGAACAAACTGAAAATACGTGTATAAGTTAGAGTGTAAAAATTAATCATCTGGCATAATGTGGTTATCAAGAACTTCAATATATTAATGTTCATGAAGGGCAATGAACAATGTTGAAGTTCTCGTCTGAAAGCGAGGCTCGCTTTGGCGTTAAAATATCTTTGCCCATGAAAAAAAAATGTTTAACTCTAGCGCTTGAGGGAATAGCAGTATTGTATTTAATAAACAGATTTATGAGTATCTGTTCTCCAAGTAAATCCGCATCGTTAACCGAGTTTCATGATTTCATGTTTAGCCACATTTTGACGAGATTTTGAGCTTTACTCTTTAAAGATTTGTGGCTCCTAAGATTTTCTTTAGACTGAGTGACAGAATTGAAAGTCTTCTTTCTTATCATCGTCGTATTTACTTGCGTTGCTGCCTCCGCCACTTAGACTATCTTTGTCTTTCGAACTTTCGAAAGCTTCTTGTCGTAACTTCTCTTCTACATTTTTTTCCATGCATTTTTTTACTGCATCCACTCGACTGTTATCATACGTTTCCAGCTATATCAACCGGAACTTGGAATGAAAATTCGCGGCAAGTAGGCACAGTTTGTCTTCCAGAAGTGGTCCAAACCTTTTATCTATACCATTTAATAAGGCATTGGCTAAAGCTGTACTATTTATTAGGCCCTTAGATCTTATATTTTTTAATTTAAAGACAGTTGCTGCAATTGTCGGTAGCAGTGACCCGTTATACGCTTGAGCTTCTCCTGAATACGATCGAGGGCATTAGCGACAGGTGCGGTAAATAAGTAGATATTAATAATATAAACGACATGATATGGTAAAATTAGATGTTAATTTATAATATGTATATGTATATAAGTATATAAATTTACCATTGAATACCCTTTCAGTACACTCACATCTTGGTCATTGAAAGTCAGAATTTTTAGGTGAGTCATAACCCTGTGAAGAGAAGGCCATTTTGTTTCCAATATTCCATTGAGAACGACAATAGCATCATACATAGAGTTCAACCTCGTTGTATTTGGAAGGACGAGTCGTCTGCCCAATTCAGCATGAATTCTATCTGCTGCTACCGTACTACGTGATTGCTGATTCCAGACAGTACGTGCTTTAGCTATAGCACTTTTGTAGGGAGTCTTGAAAATAGTTATTTATAATAGAGCAGCATCTACATCTTTGCTTGCGATCAAATTCAATGTATGCGCAGCACACCTCATGTGAACTGGGAAAGTCTTGAAGTTTTCTAATATGTCTTCATGGGTTTTATTGCACTGTTTACGAACAGGCTTATTTAGGATGTTTTCTACTGAAATAAATTCTAAGCCATCTTCCGAGTTTGAATTTAAAAGGTTGGCAAAAGCGTTATCAGGTTCTAACTCCATCTCACATCATAACAGATCTGGACGTGTGTCGGTCTCCGTGCCAAATTGCACAAATGCCTTAACAAAGTTATAGGCATTAGCCGTAGTACTCCTAAATGAAAAGAAAACACGCTTATACTACTTTGTTTACGCTTTTTTTTATATTAAATAATTATACTGTTCTACATTTTCTCCTATCAATATACTGATGATGATGTCCACTACAATTTCAGAAATTACTTCTTTGGCCACATCTCAATATGAAACATTTTCATTCTCGTTTGTCTCTGTAGGCGAGGTTCGTAAAACCTTTGTATCTATTAAATCCAAAGCAGTGGGCTGTGACAATGTGAATCGCCTTATGATCTCTTCTGTTCTCAAAAATGTTCTCTCAGTCATAAACTCACATAATCAATTTTTCTCTGTTGTCTGGGGTCTTTGATGCTTCTTGGCCTAAAGCTTATATTATCCCTCTTCCCAAAATTGCAAACCCCACTCAAGTTAACAACTATAGACATATTTCTATTTTACCCTTTCTATCAAAACTTCTTGAATCTATGGTTCACCAACAATTGTCTGCCTTTTTCTTGTCTTTTGTGTACTCTTGAATTGATACGCGTTTGTAAAATCAATCACTACAAGTACGGAATTTTATGGAATATTATAAGGTGGAATATTAACTCCACTGCTGTTCTCCATTTCATTAACTTTTTCTCTTCTCAACTTTTTTCTTTATAGAATGGGGAGCAAACGAGCATGAGGCTCACCTGATGGTAAGTGACTACCGCCGCCCATGAACAACCGCAACACCAGAGGAATTGCAGATGCGTTGCCGGCCTTTTAAAAAGGTGTAAGCTCTTTTCTTGAAGGTTCCCAAGTCGTATCGGTCCGGAAAATTCCCTAGTGGTAATTGATTCCACAAGGAAGTTGTACGAAGGAGAAAACTTCTTCTAAATCGCACAGTGGTGGACCGCCAATCATCCAGATGGTATGGATGGTAACGCGAGTTTTGTCGCGATGTGCGATGGTGAAATTGAGCGGCTCGAATTAGTCCGAACAATTCCATATACGCAAAGAAATGCAACATTTCTACGCAGTGCCAGTGTATCGAGCTGATCAGAAAGAACTTGGTCGTCGACGATTCGAACCGCTCTGCGCTGGATGCGGTCAAGTGGAAAGAGCTGGCACTGGGATGCCCCGGCCCAGAGATGAGAACAGTATTCCATGTGGGGCCGAACTTGCGCTTTGTAAAGTTGCAAGCGATGTGCCGGCATGAAATACTGTCTCGCTCTGCTGAGCACGCCAAGGGTTTTAGAGGCCAATTTGGCCTTCCCTTACAAGTGACCACGAATACTGCACACTATTCGGTATATCGACGTACCGATAAAATATTTACTATGTTACATTATGACAAAATATATTAGGGAAACAATAAACAAACATCACCAGAATCTATACAAATTCTGTGTTATTAGTTCCATTATTTTTGATGATGGATAGTCCTTTAACTATGTTAAAAGAAATAGACGATACCGAAATTGCAAATTCTGTATCTTGCGGTATTGAAGATTTGAATAAAATCGTATGTTTGAATAAAAAAGATGGTTAAAGATCAAAATATAAATAATCCCCCAAAAAGCAAACATGCACGTATAACTCATCATATTCCTTTTTGTTAAGTCCCACTGATCCCTATGACATCTCTTCTATCATAAATAATTTAAAAACACTAAAAATACTGGGTTTGATGACATTTGTGTATCAGTGTTAAAATATGTTTGTTCTAGTATTGCGCCCATACTTAGCCACATAATTAATTTATGTTTTGAACAGGGTATTTTTCCATCAGCATTAAAGACTACATTAATTAAACCCCTCCATAAAAAAGAAGCTAAATCTGATATTAAGAATTTTAGACCAATAGCCCTAACTCCTACATTTTCTAAAATAATTGAAAAGGCTATATATAATAAATTATATAATTACTTCGAACGGAACAACATCTTTACCGCTGATCAAAAAGGATTCCGAAAGAATGTGTCATTGAGCCTAGCTATCTATGAATTTTTAAGTATGATATACCCAAGAGTGGATGCTAGACAACCTTCTAATGCCTTGTTCATGGATATGTCAAAGGCCTTTGACTTTGTGGATCATGCAAAACTTTTAAATAAACTTGATATATACGGTGTAAGGGGCAATACTCTCGATTTATTAAATTCGTACTTCAGTGAAAGAACTGAAATCACGGAAATAAGCAAAATTTGTTCCAAACATAAAAATGAAACACATTATAGATCCAGTCCTAGAAGAGTTAATTTTGGTGTCCCACAAGGAAGTGTTCTGGGGCCACTACTTTTTATTGTTTATATAAATGACCTACCTAAATCTACTAAGAATCGGATGATATTGTTTGCAGATGACTGTATAGTTATTTATAATAATGAAAACGCCATAAATAGTAGCTTAAAGTCTATAATTGAGTGGCTACAAAACAATAATTTAATAATGAATATAGATAAAACTAAGATAATGCAATTCAAACAAAAAACTAAACATAGTTTTAATACACAAATTCAATATAATGACAAAGAAGTCCAAATAACAACAACTACAAGGTTTCTTGGCGTTAACATTGATGAAAATCTGAAATGGCAAAGCCATATAGAATTCGTATGCAAAAAAGTGACACAGTCGTCTTATAACCTATATATGCTAGCAAAAAAAGTCAGTCTCCCCACATTACTTGTGGCTTATCATGGTTATGTTGCGTCCCGGCTTAGATATGGAATAATATTTTGGGGAAACGCCACTAACTGGGATAAAGTATTTAAATGTCAAAAAATGTGTATACATGCTATGTGTGGTTTAAAAAGAACTGATAGCTGTAAAGATTATTTCATGAAATTAAAACTACTTACCGTACCATCACTATACATATTTGAAATAGCTTTATTTATCAGACAATATCCATCATTATTTAAATTAGAGATTTCGAGATTTCGCAATAGAAGCAGATTATATAATAACTTTAGTAGAACATATAAAACTATCTTGTATGGAAAAAGTGTGTTTGCTATGGCTCCAAAGATATACAATAAGATTCCGAATAACATCAAAGAGCGTAACGATATACAGATTTTCAAAGATAAATTGTTCCACTTTCTAATTGAGCATTCATTTTATACGATCGATGAATTTTTTGCCGAGTGTCAGAGATAATAAAAGTCTAACGGATACTACATAATTTTATCAAAATTAAAGTTATATATAAATTAAAAATATTTTTATAATTTAAATGAATGTTTTGATACTAATTATTATTATCATTGTTCTTTCTTTGAAATGACAATGTGATGGTTAATTTAATTAATTTATTGATGTAATCTAAAGCGGTCTACACACCAAAGCCGCTGATCCGGCGGCACAGCCCGGCGGCTTAGTGCCGGCGGGTTAACCCGGCGGCTTCAGAATGTCCAAGCCGAACGACTTTGCCGGCGACAATGCCGGCGGCACGACAGCCGCGGCATGTGGTGTTCTAGTAATTGCCAAATAGTCGTAGAGATTGGACGTGTGTGTTTCGAATAATTCAGAAGTAGTATTTTCAGATTGACATGGAGGAGGACGATAACAGTGATTTAATAATAGCAGTTTGTGGAGTTATTATCGGTGGATCCCTCAACACACGAAAGTGTTGGGTTAGGCCAAGTTTAATGAGTCGCAATAAATACAGTACTTGTCAAAGATTAAGTGATTTAAAGGAAGACGACTTGGTTCTATACAAACCCAATTCTTTTAAGACTTTCCTGTCATTAACCAGTACCGACTTTGAATATTTACTGAATATTGTTGGACACAAAATAGCTAAACAAGACACAAATTACAGAAAAGCAGTTTCACCAGTGGAAAGATTGTCAATAACGTTAAAATACCTAAGCTCAGGAAATTCTTTTAGTAGCCTGTGCGATGTCTTTAAAGTATCTCCTCAATTAATTTCAAGCATTATTCCTGAAGTATGTGATGCTTTAGTTGAAGGACTTTCAGATTATGTGAAAATTCCAAGGAGTCAGGAAGGATGGAGAGAAATTGCAGATGAATATTTAAAAAGATGGCAAATACCCAATTGTCTTGGGTCAATGAATGGGAAACACATTAAACTTCAATGTCCCCCAAAAAGTGGAAGTGATTATATAAACTATAAAAAATATTTCAGTATTGTGCTCTTTGCTTTAGTAGATGCTGATAGATAGAACTTTTTGTACGCTAATGTGGGATGTCAGGGTCGGATTTCAGATGGTGGGGTTTTTAATAATTCAGCATTAGGTCGATTGTTAAATGATAATGAATTGAATATACCACATAAAACCCCTTTACCCGGAAGGAATCTACCAGTACCGTTTTTTTTTTTTTTTGGGTGATGATGCGTTTCCTCTGCAACCCCATATTATAAAGGCTTATGATGGTAATCACACAATGGGATCATCTAAGAGGGTTTTTAACTATCGCGTATGTCGAGGGCGAAGAGTAGTTGAAAACGTGTTTGGGCAGTTAACACACAAATTTAAGATTTTTCATAGACCTATTCAGCTAATCCCAGAAAAAGCTACTACTGTAACTTTGGCGTGTATACATTTATTTAATTATATCAAACGAACCGCTGCAACTCAGCAAAACGAATACGATACTGAAAATAATCATGGAGAAGTCTTTCCCGGTGAATGGCGTAGACATCTTGAAAACGACAGTTGCTTAGATAATATGTCAGGAGAAGACAATCAAACCTCGGATACTACAGTGACCGCTGAGGATACAAGAGTGGAGTTGACTCATTATTTTCTTTCTAGTGTCGGAGGATTAGAATGGCAATATAACCAATAACTCAACTCATATAATCAATATTATTTTTAATCATTAAGTAGTTCCATGTATTATCCATTAAATTTAAAATCGTAAATTACACATAGTGAGATACACTTTTATTGTGATTCGTATAATAAAGTTTTAAACAAAATAAGAAATGTGTTTTTGTAAACCAATAACATGATATTAACTATTGGTAACAGTAGAAGTGTCACTAAACTAAAATTAAAACCTTGCTATTCCTTTCGCACATATGTCAAGCTCTACTCGTGTGAAGGGAATAGTCAACACTTATTAAATTTAACTTTAACTTTAACTTTAATGGGGCTACCTATAGCTACCTTTATTATACCAAAAAGAAAATTAAATATTTATAACATATTTTGAAGATTACTTTATAACACTATCAGAAGGATTTAGAGCTAGGTATTCTTCAGTAAATGTTTCTAGTGACGAAGGTAGAATTGTTTGTGGATCTGGGTTTGTTTGGGCAGAGTATTCAGAAGAAGTTAAGTTATTTGTAGAAGGGCTTACAACCGTCTGTTGAAGTGAAGATGCTGTATAGTATCCTGGATGACTGTGTGAACTAGAAACACTACTTGGTCTTGCAAAATCCGTAAATGTATCGGATCTATATCCAGTTTCAGCTTCAAATATTATATTGTTGATCCGATGTCTCACAATAGCTTTCATTTGTCGATCCATTTGTCTTAACTGACCCGCAATATAATCTCCAAATAAACCATCCTCATCTTTTGTCACATTTGGTCGTTGGGAGACATTCTTCATAATATTCAATGCTTCGGATATCAACTCTTTATTAGGGTTGATTTTAGGACGTTTATTTCGTTGCCAAGTTGTATTTTCTGGCGACATCTGTGGTAAATCATTTTGATTTGATTGTGAATCTCGTTGTGAATCGTGGCTCGTCGACGGTGTGTCCTGCGAAAAAAGACGAAAAAGACTGCCCGTTTAGCCGTTTTACTTTTATTTAATAAAAAATAAATAAGTATATCTAGTCAAAATCAACATTTATTGTGTATTTTTTATTATGGATTTTATTAAAGGCACTGAATAAGTCTTCAACATTTCAATTTTTTTTTCAAACACATTTTTTTTTACCTGAGTGGCAACTATTTTGCCAATGCCCGGGAAAGGGTTAAAATGTAAATACAAAGATACACTAATAAATAAACTAATATAATTATATGTCTATGGGGCCCTAGTTGCCTGATTATAAATAAAAAAAAAATTAAATCTTTACTTACAGTATCGGTGGTTCCAGTAGGTACATTTTTGTTCTGCAGAAAATTTAGTGATTTGTAAGCAAACCATTTACTATGATAAATATCATCAGTACGCGCACCAGACTTATTTGAATTATCTTCTTTTTTGTTCTCTCGGTAATAATGACTAATTAAATTTTTTATCTTTCTCTCGATTTCCGGAACATCAGTAGCAAATTCACTGGCAATTTCATTAAATGCGTCGTAACGCTTTGGCCGGCTTTTGTAGTCACGGTTTTTTGGGTTCCATAATATTTCTTTTAAATGATAGAGGTCTATTAGTTTTATAACTGTTGCATCGTCCCACTCCATATTGGTTAGTTGATAAAAAATAAAAGTGCCGACACTTCACAACAACAGAGAATGAATAAGTGATACGTCACTACTCTATGAAAGCCGGCGGCCAACTGACTGAGTGAGTGGAGAGGGATGCCGTCGGCATCGGCATGCTGCCCCGCCGGCTTGCCCGCGCGGGCGCAAGTCGGCGGCATGATTGTACAAAATAAGGCCGGCGGGTTGGGCCGGCGATCCGTGCCGCCGGGTCAGCGGCTTTGGTGTGTAGACCGCTTTATAATATAATTTAATATTTTATAATTGCTACGCCCAAACATTTTTTAAAACACATCTATTGTTACCATTTGATTGCAATAAAGATTATGAATTATGCTGGTAGAAAATGCCATATGGCATTAAGTCCGCCGTTTGTACCTTTAGTACAATAAAGTGTATAAATAAATAAATAAATAAATTATGGAAAAAGACTTGACAGTTATCACGCAGAACATCAAAAGTGTTTATAAAAACTTAGGCAACTTGCAATTAACACTATCTAGTCTTACATTTGAAGTAAATCTGTTAATTCTAACAGAATGCGGGCTTGATAACAATAAGCATCTGCCACAAATTACAAATTACACATCGTTTGTTACTATGCAACATCTTAACCAAAATGACGGAGTAACAGTTTACTATAAAAATAACCTTAAACCTAAGATAAAAGAAATAAAATTAGAGCATGCATCTTGCCTACAAATAGAAATATTTAATAATATTATATTAGGTATATACAGATCACCCTCTAATACAAATACTGAAAAATTTACTGAATCTTTGCGACAACATCTCAACACTATTAAAAACAATCAAAATATAATTATTACTGGAGATATCAACATAAATCTTATTCCGAAACCTAATGAACTAAATAGTGAACAAAAAATAGAATTAACTATCTAGATGTCCTTTCTACTTTCGGCTTGGTACCGGGATATACAATTGCTACCAGAGAAAATAGTTGCCTGGATCATGTTATCCTTAAATCAAATAGGAAGAAGACACAAGCAAATATAGCAGTAGTAAATACATCCATCACAGATCACTATATGGTGTTCTTTAATTTAACTAAAATTAAAGAAATAAAAACTTCTCCGCGAACAAAAATCTATATCGATTTTAATAAGGCGGTTAATAGCCTTGCTAATAAAAATTTATCTATTTTACTATTATGCGATGATCCTAATAGGATTGTTGAAATATTAATAAACAAAATTACAGAATCTCTACATGAAAACACTAATACTATCCGTATTCCTAAAAGTAGACGTACCATTAAACCCTGGAACTACAGGTGTGCTCAGATGCATTCAAAATAGGAATAAAATGCAAAAACAACTTAAAAGCAACCCTTTCGATGAAATTTTGAGAAAAACCTATAAAAACATCGAAATTACTGTAACAACTGTATTAAAAAGTTAAAACGTTCATATGAAAGAACACTGTTATTAGAAAAAAACCCTAAAATCTTATGGAATAATATAAAAAATATTACACATACTAAGGAAAATAAAACTACTAATAATGCATTATTAGACATAGAATCAAGCCCTACTCAATCAGTTAATACAGTCAATAATTTTTTCGCAAATATTGGGTGTAAGCTTGCCGATGACATTCAAAAGAACACAGCACACGATCACAATATACATATTGCAGCACACTTAATTAATAACCAGCTCTCATCTTTCGCCATCTTAGATACTGATCCTAATGAAGTTCTTAGTATAGTCATGAACTTAAAATCCGATAGCAATCCGGGTTGTGATAACATACCCACAAAATTTGTGAAATTGGCCAGTTCTTTATTAGTGCCGATAGTTTGTCATTTGGCTAACCTCTGTTTTTCTAAAAGTGTATTTCCAGCCTTCCTTAAACGTTCTATTATTACACCTTGTACTGTTAGGCGTCGTCCTAATTGGGAGCGATCGTACGATGGCGCGATGCGTTTTTCATCTCACGATCAAAGTGATCGTACGATGACCTAACAGGTGTCCTAATAGATCGCGCGATGTCTATCGTGCGATGCCGTCGCTCGATGGCTGGCGTCGCGCTTACGCCACTTTAACGATGGCTCTTTATAGAGATGCACAGTTTTTACTGTCGGGCAATATTGCTTTAAAAATTGCAAATGACATTGAAAAAAGGAAACGTAGACAACATAAAATACTTTATAGATCCAGGAATCTGCGCGGTGAATTTTTCAACCTTTATTTTGATGTACGAAATAACGAAGAAGACTTTTACGATTATTTGTCTATGTCAAGAGAAACATTTGACTACATCTGCAATGGAATACGTAGCGATTGTAATCATAGAGTGACCAACTTTAAAAAACCCATTAGTGTGGAAGAAAGATTGGTATTAACAATAAGGTAAGTTTTTTATTATTATTATGTGTGCGTATCCATTTTCCTCCAATTTGTAAGTGCCTGTTGAAAGACCATTCAAATGAAAGAATACAGGTTGCAGGTTGCAGGTTCGAACTCCGGCACGCACCAATGTCTTTTAGAATTCATGTACGTATTATAAATTAATTATCACTTGCTAAAAACGGTGAAGGAAAACATCGTGAAGAAACCAGCAAACCTGAGAGATTTTTCAACGGTGTGTGAAGCCATGTCAGAGGCCTACGGGCGGTTTAAACTCTGACACCAGGTTGTTCATCAACCATTCGATAAGAAGAAGACGGTATAAAAAAAGCAATAATCGCACATTTTTTTATTAGAAAAAGAAATTGAGGTGTAAAAAATCTTATATTCAAGAATCATATTCAGCATTAAATGATTCGTAGAATTGTTGTGTGTTTGTCGGTGGTGCCATGGATGGATGTGAGGATGCGTGCACAGGTGAAGGTATGATTGACATTGACATAGTAGATGAAGAGTTTGAAGGGGGTGATGGCATAGCTAGAGAAATTTCGTCTGCTATTGTATTCTGTAGTTTACTTTTTAATCTTAATTTTTGCACAGGATTCATATATTTAAAATATGGAGCTAGCGATTTCAAAAATAGTAAATCTTCATCCTCAACTTCTTTTTCTTTCTCCTTAAACGCTTTAATTTTATCTTCTTCGATTTGGATCATTCGACGCTGATATTCGGTTAAAGATTGATTTTCTTTACGTTTTCTTTTTTGGGATCCAGTTTGTAATCCACTATCCAAAGCTTCAGTTGACAAAGCACTCGTGCTCTGTGTAATTGTACTGCGCGCACTGGTAGACAGTGGTTCGTCATCAGAAGACACAAAAGCCTCGGATCTATTAGACATTGCAGTAGAATTCTCTTCATCAGGCAACTGAAGATTCTGCTCTGATTTTGAAGTGGATGGCCTCATTATCATTATTTCCAGTTTCTTGATGAACACTATTACCTTCGGTTGGTCGAGGCATTGAAACATCCTTTAAAAACAACATATGTTGGTAATAGGTCCACTTTCCTGAGTAATATTGTTCATTTGGGCTTCCTGGATCTCCAGAGCGAGGCTTACGAACTTTTTTCAATGCTTTTAGAAAGACATCCATTAAGTGTCGCCACCTAGTTTTAACGTCCTTTTCTGTAATAAATAACAATAAATTTTAATTCAACGTGTTATTATTTACAGGTACTTAACAACAGGAACCCCTTTTCGGAAATTAGGAGTGCCATTTCGCATTTCAAAAACCGCAATAGCAAGTATCGTGATGGAGGTTTGCAGTGCAATTTGGAATAATTTTAACGAAATACATATGAAGTTTCCAAGTATCGAAGATTTTAAGGAAATAGCAAATTCATTTTCAAATAAAAATAAATTTCCACATTGCTGTGGGAATCTGGACGGAAAACACATTCGTGTCGTAAAGCCACAACTCTCTGGAAGCATGTATTTCAACTACAAAAATTATTACTCAATTGTTTTATTAGCGGTCTCCGATTCAGACAACACATTTCGCATCATTGACGTAGGTGCATACGGGAAAGATAGTGATGGAGGCGTTCTCAGCAATTCAAAATTTTTTCAAGAACTTAACAGTGGAAATATTCAATTACCACCCGAGGAACGATTACCGAATAGTGATATTGTGGCACCATATGTATTTTTAGGGGACGAGGCTTTTCCTTTGAAAACGTTCATAATGAGACCTTATCCAAGAACACAAGCAACAGGAAATGCAGATAAATCAAGATTTAATTTCAAATTGTCTACTACAAGGGTCGGTATAGAATGCACCTTTGGAATGGCTGCTAGTAAATTTAGAATTCTTTTAAAAAGCATCGAAACATCTGTGGACAATTCAATTAAAATTGTAAAGGCAGTCTGTCTGTTGCACAATATTATAATACACAGAGATAAGAGAGAACCAGAATTATCTGTAACAAATAATCAATTAAATAACAATTTTGGAAGACAGACAGACAGAACAGGATGTAAACGTACTTGGTTAATTAAATCTTCGAATGTCATCTTGTATGTAACAGAATAGCCAAACGCTTTACACGAAGAATGAAAACACAAAATGGCGTCCGGCCGCGAGCGAGCCGAGTACCTACTGTGTGTCACTGGTGTTGGCCCTTGCCCCTTTCGTCCCGCGCACCTCGCGCGTCGACGCATCGCGTATGTAACCAATTAGGACACTCAAAAGAGATCTGTTGCTTTGATTACATGGTCGCACGATCAAACGCATCGTACGATCGTTATTAAGCATTTCATGTACTCGCACGATTACTTGCGAGGTTCAAATAGGACACTCTGATGAAATCTGTATGTTTGAACTCATCGCACGACGAGAACGCATCGTGTCATCGTACGATCGCTGTCAATTAGGACGACGCCTGATGCTACTTACATATCATTTTACATTATTTAAAATTCATTTTTCCATTCCGTTTCGATTTTCTGCATTGACCTCAAGACTGGATATTTTACCTTTACCTTTATTTCCATAGGATCCTGTAACGATTTTAAACCATAAGAACACAATAACAAATCATTTCTACTTCGTATTTTCACATTATCAGCACTTTTAAATTGGTGTCAATGGAGTCTACCTTTTTCGATCTTTTATTTAGTTTTCCGTAACTCTGCAATTTCGGACTTTGTGCGCGCAGTTGCGCTACCTTTTTTCCTATATCAATAATATCTAATTTTTCACTTAAATCTTGCCGTTTTTCTATTACGAGCCTAAAACCAAAATTTGACATGTTTTGACATCGTTGTTTATTTGGTTGTCATGACAATTATATTCAAATTTGCTACCGGTCTGTTGTTTCTACTTCGATAATTCCACATAAATACTCTTTCCTCTTGGCCATTTACAAAAAATTTGCGTTTAATTTAAATATTTTTTCCGTTCTCTCTAGAAAGGTATAAAAGCCGAACAATCGGTGAAGAAATGCAGTCTCGCTTCAATTCTCAAATTCGAAGCATCTCCTAAAGGCCTCATCCCGGGGCCGCACTGCCCCGGGATCCTGCAAGCCTCTGTCCTGCCTGAAGCCGCTGGATCCTACAAGCCTCTGCTCTGCCTGAAGTCGCCGAATCCGGCTAGCTTCTGCTCTGCCTGAAGTCGCCGAATCCTGCAAGCCTCTGCTCTGCCTGAAGTCGCCGGATCCTGCAAGCCTCTCTCCTGCCTGAAGTCGCCGGATCCTGCAAACCTCTGTCCCGCCTGAAGTCGTCGGACCCTTCAGGCCTCTGTCCTGCCTGAAGTCGCTGAGGACCCTGCAACCCCCTGTCTTGCCTGAAGTCGCCGGAACTTGCAAACCTCCGCATTCACCTGAGGTCGTCGCCTAGAGACGCCCACACCTTCACCTACGCTGTGCGTGCTCGTTCCAGGCGCTGAGAGCACTTACTGTACACCTTGGATCTTCGGGCTCAACTTCAACACTAATCTTTTTTTTTATTATCTTTTTTTTTAAATAATTTGTAAATCACGACATCCATCTTCATCTTCATACTCCATTTTGTTATATAAAATTGTAAATATCTTTTAAATCCTATATATATTATTTGTTTTTGTTCTATTTTTGTTGTCTTGTTGCTCTTAGGTTAGATTCTTTTGTATTTAATTGTCGCTTCACGACAACCTGTATACAAGAATGGGAGTAGAGATGATATAAATAATTATAGGCCAATTTCCATCTTACCAGCTTTTTCTAAAATCTTAGAAAAATTAATTAATAGAATAGAATAGAATAGAATAGAATGATTTTTATTCAATATGGATTATTACATAATACTTATTGAAAGTCATTATTTTATTTACCACTGGTTCGGAAAATACCTCTGTCCTGGGAAGAACCAGCAAGAAACCCAGCGGGACTTTTTTTTTTAAACATAATTTCACTTAACAATAATTTTGATTATACAATTTTAAATGAATTTTCATAGAACCAGCATGGTGGCGATCACCTTATTCCCAGGGGTTATTTTCACTCATGTATTCCTTGATATTATAATAACCCTTTTTGTACAGTTTTTCTTTAATAAAACTTTTAAACTTGTTTATTGACAAACTTTGAACATGTTCTGGGATTCTGTTGTAAAAGCGTATACATTGCCCCATAAATGAATTACTAATTCTGTGGAGTCTTGTAAGTGGCATTACAAGCTTATGTTTGTTCCTAGTGTTTAAGGTATGAACATCCTTATTCTTATTAAAGCTATTTATGTTTTTATGTACATACATTACATTTTCATAAATATATTGCGATGCCAAAGTTAATATGTTTATTTCTTTAAATTTTTCTCTAAGGGACTCTTTACAATTTAGATTATAAATCGCCCGTACGGCTCTCTTTTGCAAAACAAATATAGCTTCAATATCAGTCGCATTACCCCATAGCAAAATTCCATAAGACATTACGCTATGAAAGTAACTAAAATACACTAACCTAGCTGTCTCAACATCTGTGAGACTTCTAATCTTTCTTACAGCATATGCTGCAGAACTAAGTCTGCTTGCTAATTTAGATATATGGGGGCCCCATTGAAGTTTCGCGTCAATAGTAATACCGAGAAAAACAGTGGTATCCACAAGACTCAACTCCTCCCCATTTAAGAGCACATTGGTTTTCGAATGTTTTACATTAGGTATTGTAAATTTAATACATTTTGTCTTATTGCCGTTTAAGAGCAAATTGTTGACGTTAAACCAATGTACTAGTTTCGATAGAGCATTATTTACATCGTCATATTTAATTGACTGCCGTTTCAGTTTGAAAATTAAAGAGGTATCGTCAGCAAATAATACTATATCGTGATTGTCCCCTACAAGATAAGGTAAGTCATTAATATAGATTAAGAACAGGAATGGGCCAAGAATCGAGCCCTGAGGAACGCCCATTGATACTACCGATCCGGAGGAACATTTACCATTAATGACGACTTTTTGAGTTCTGTTATTTAAATATGAAGAATAACAGATTAATACGGTATTTAGATAAATATAATATTCTATCGCAAACACAATATGGATTTAGAAGAGGAAAAAACACACAGAACGCTGTCATAGATCTAACTACATATATTGTTGATCACCTTGACCAAAATAAAAAATGTCTTGCTATATTTTTGGACTTAAAAAAGGCATTTGACACCGTCTCTGTTCCCATGCTTGTTAGGAAAAGATCGGTATAAGGGAAGCCCAACTAGAATTAATAAGAGATTATTTAAGAAACAGAACGCAAAGCACTAGAATAGGCAATTATGTCAGTAATGACCTTCAAATAACCTTTGGGGTGCCTCAAGACAGTGTACTAGGCCCTACCTTATTTCTCATTTATATTAATGACCTCTGTAGATTAAAACTTGACAATGGTAAGATTTATTCATATGCGGACGATACTGCTATCGTATTCACGGGTAAATCGTGGGATGAAGTCTACGATACAGCCGAATTTGGACTGTCCAAAGTTGCGAACTGGCTTGAAATAAACTTTCTTACCCTAAACACGTCTAAGACTAAATATATATGTTTTTCCATTAACAAACGGTCACAACCCACAACACACAATCTCAAAATACACAACTGTGGTTTGCGTAACAATTGCACGTGTCCTACTATAGAAAAAGTAGCTAGCACTAAATATTTAGGTGTTATAATAGACCAAACACTTACATGGCATTCACATATAGAAGCAACTAATAATAGATTACGAAAACTTATTTGGATCTTTAAGACCCTCAGACATGTCGCAACTCATAAATTATTAAATCAAATATATGCTGCACTAGCCCAATCGATTTTAACATATTGTATACCAGTTTGGGGTGGTACTACGAAAACTAAACTCCTACAACTAGTACGTGGTCAACGATCATTAATAAAGGTCATGTACAATAAATCATACAGATTTGCTACAGAAGAACTTTACTCAGTTAGTGGTTTACTAAGTGTTAGAAAGTTATACATTTTAAATTTGTTGTTAACAAAACATAAAACAACTTTCAGCGACTGCAAAAAAAGTAATAGACGAGGAAAAGCTTATGAATTAACTCTAGTCAAGACAAATTTTGCTAGTCACCAATTTAAAAGTCAGGCTGGTTATTTATACAATTTAGTCAACAAAAAACTAAACATTTATTCACTGAACTCTAATGAGTTCAAAAAGACAGTTACAGAATGGCTACTGAAACTTAAGTATGATGAAGTCGAGGCATTACTAAAAGTTATTAAATAAATTTTACATACGCAGACAAACACACACATGTGTACATATACACACGCAAACACACGCACGCACACACACACACACACACACACACACACACACACACACACACACACACACACACACACACAGAATCGCGCGAGTGAGCGCACGCACCCATTAACTCACACTCACATAAACTCGCACACTTATATAAAACCCTCATTATATAAATATAAGCTTAGTTTCTTGTATTTCTTTAATTAATCTATTTTGTGTTTATTTAATTCTTGCTATAGAAGAGCGGGGCATCCTGCCGCAAGTATATATTTACTTAAAAGGATGTTCCACTTACTCCCATTCCTATATAATGTATGATCTTTTTAGAGAAATAAACAATTTTTCATTTTCATTTTTTTCATTTCAGAAATAAAGATTGTTATCATAAACAGAATTTTAAGCATCTAAATGTATTTAATTTTCGCAATTCCTGTTGTAACCCAGCATGTATATTTACATGTACATATATTTACCGATACCGTTAAAGCCTATCAAAGTCTACTGTTGAACATAAGCCTCCCCAAAGATTGCCACATACGTGGGATACTTGCCATAGTTGCTACGGAAGGCAAGCGGATTGCCAATAGCAGTTTTGGTTAATTTCCCCTCTGTCGCCTCTTATAACACCCACAGAACGATATTATGGGGTAGTAGATTTTCTTACACCGCCACTACACGGTCAGCATTTTTATTGTGTTTTTTTTTTATGGAAGAGGGGGCAAACGAGCATGCGGCTCACCTGATGGTAAGTGACTACCGCCGCCCATGAACAACCCTAACACCAGGGGAATTGCAGATGCGTTTCCGGCCTTTTAGAAAGATGTAAGCTCTTTTCTTGAAGGTCCCTAAGTCGCATCTGTCCGGAAAAATCGCCGGTGGTAAACAATTCCACAGAGAAGTTGTACGAGGAAGAAAACTCCTAGTAAAACGCACAGTCGTGGACCGCCAAGCATCCAGATGGTGAGGATGGTGTCGTGAATTTTGACGCGATGTGCGTTCGGGAAATTTGGCGGCTGGAATTAATCCGAACAATTCCTCAGAGCACTCCCCGTGGTAATTTCGATAGAAAATGCAAAGAGATGCAACATCCCTACGCAGTGCCAGTGTATCGAGCCGATCAGAAAGAACTCGATTCGAACCGCTCTATGCTGGATGCGGTCAAGTGGAATAAGCTGACACTGGGGTGCCCCGGCCTAGAGATGAGAACAGTATTCCATGTGAGGCCGAACTTGCTCTTTGTAAAGTTGCAAGCGATGTTGGCCTTCCCTTCCAAATGACAACAAAACTGCTCGCTATTCGATATGTCGACGCTGTGAATTCCGATGCTAGCTGAGGCAGCAAGGGGAGTGCCTTGAAACTGAGGAGATTCAAACACAGGGGTTCTTAAATAAATTTCTTAAAGTTCTTGAGGTAAATGCGCAAACTTGTGTCTTCTGGGGATTGAACTGGACTAGATTTAGTCGCCCCCAATCCGAGACTTTGTTCAGCAAAGACTCGACTTCAGACACAAGTTTGTCCCGGTACTCGGCGACGTTTGACCGAGAAATATTGGCACGGCCGGTATATAAGGCATCACCAGTGCTGTCGTCAGCATAGCAATGAATGTTACCAGTTCGCAACATATCATTGATATGCAGGAGAAACAGCGTTGGTGATAGCACGTGGAACACCAGCGTTGATAGGCTTGTAATCAGAGCATGCACCGTCTACTACGACCTTGATGCTCCGATCAGCAAGGAAACTGGTGATCCATTTGCACAATTTATTGGGAAGCCCATAGGAAGGAAGCTTCGAAAGAAGCGCTTTGTGCCAGACCCGATCGAAGGCCTTCGCTATGTCCAAGCTAACGGCCAATGGCAGTAGAGTCTAAGGGGGAGGCCCTTGGACTCTACTGCCTCCGCCCATCTATGAGTCAGGTAGACCAGAATATCACCAGCTGATCGACCCCGACGAAAACCGTACTGGCGGTCACTAATCAGCTGGTGATCCTCAAGGTACCTCATGAGCTGGCAGTTAATAATGGATTCCATTATTTTGGAGAACAAGGAGGTGATGGCGATAGGCCTGTATTTGGACGGGTCAGAGCGTTCGCCTTTTTTAGGGATCGGGTGGACCAAAGCTGTCTTCCATGAATTCGGGACTACGCCTTGGGAGTAGGAGTACCGGAAAAGACGCGTTAAAACCGGTGCCAACTCCGGAGCACACGTCTTCAGCACAATGGGAGGGACTTCATCAAACCCACTCGACTTGGTGACGTCCAGGGAGAAGAGTGCTGTACGAACCGAGCGCTGTGTAAATCGCACATCTGGCTTGGAGCACTCTCACCACGGGATGGTCGGCGGTGTGCTCCCCCCGTTATCTAGAGTCGAGTTGGACGAAAAGAGAGAGCTTAAAAGACCGGCTTTCTCCTTTGTGGCATGGGCCAGTGAGTCGTCCTCTCTGTGCAGAGAGGGAAGAGATGGCTGACAGAAGTTCCCTTGGACAGCCTTGGCGAGAGACCAGAATGCACGGATTCCCGAAGGAAGGCGAACTAGCTTCTCACCAATTCTGCCGATGTGCTCAGACCTTGCCTTGGCAATGACGCCTCTGAAGGACCTGGAGGCGGAATTACACTTCTTTTTAAGAGCGCTGGTGTTTACATCCCGACACGTTGATGCGATCCCAGTGTGCGGATTAGAGTGTAAATACAAGGAATCACTGTTATCTCTGTGTGCTGAAATTATACCAACAGTTAAAATAAAATTTATTAGTAGTGTTTATGTATTAACGTAAAGAAATTTCATAATTCAGTTTTCATCCGCTTCTAGGAATATGGATTTCCTATGCGAGCCGGTGGCAATACTACATTTTATTACTGTGACCTAGTATTATCACTAGAAATCATCACAGCTCATGGTTACTGTGTGTTGTTTCTTTAAACTTTTTTTATTTAATTTTTTAATATTATATACCAATGCTACTATCCCACTTGATAGTAAGTGGTGATGCAGCCGAAGATGGTAAAGCCCAATGACTTAAAAAAAGCCTATTCACTTTTGCCACCCACATTATAATCGGATGGAAAGACAAGATGCTGGTAGATTATTCCACTCCTTAACTGTACGCATTATGAACTACGAAGCAAATCGTATGGTAGGAATACGAAACAAAAGGGTGGAGATCAGCGCGGCGTCTGGTGGTCCGATGACGGAATGGAGAGGGACAAATGAAGTCATGCAATTTCTGAGCACATTCCGGACAACCGAACTTGCGCTTTATATAGTGTAAGCAACTTAATAATAATTGTAATCTTAATATTAATAATAATTGTTTATTTTATTTCCATTAAAAACCAGAGTTACGAGGGTGCGTTTTTAAGTTCGCGGCATACATATTACATCACCATACCCACATATACCCTGTCTCGTATTGGACATAAATGCAAACATGGAGTCTGATTAAATATTTAATATATTTTCAGGTTCACAATTTAATATAAAAATAGTTGAGGCAAAGTTCTTCGTAAGACGGATGAATGATTGTGTGTTGAGGTGGGGGGACAAAAATGACACTTGACGTATAATGTTCAATAAAACGTTAGGCGCAGACATCTTCCCCCCGTTGAAAGGCGATGACTTTCAAACTCCTAATCCTTGAAGACTTCTGCAGTTGGTAGAGGGCATAGACGAACGACGGGGCGGCGAACACATCCCTTGGCGGTATTAACATCGGCCACTCGTGGCACGCCGTTTTGACCAGGATACAATATTTGTACGCGTCCAAAACGCCAGCAGAGTGGTGGCGCATTATCTTCTTGAAGAAGTACCATATCCCCAATGTTCAAAGAGGTGCAATTTGGCTTCCATTAGGAGCGCTGTTGCAATTCGGCGACGTATTCTCGTTGCCAGCGTGACCAAAAATGATGATAAATCTGTTGTATTCGTTCGTATCGTTGAAGATGATTACTATTGAGATCGTCTAAAACAGGTGATGGTAGCGCGGTGAGAGTTCGGCCAATGAGAAAGTGTCCAGGAGTTAAAACTTGGAGGTCATCAGGAGAAGAGGATAGAGAACATAATGGACGGCTGTTTAAGATTGATTCTACTTGTGCGAAAAGAGTGGTCAGCTCTTCGAATGTTAGATGGGAGTTACCCATTGTACGCTTAATGTGAAATTTTGCCGATTTCAGTCCAGCCTCCCAGATGCCGCCAAAATGAGGTGCGTAAGAAGGTTAAAATATAAACTTTGTGCCTTCATTGCTCGCGAAATCAAAAAGGGATGCCTGGTGATTCTTAAAAAAATAGTTTAATTCTTTTGCTCTTGCCACAAAGTTGCGGCCGTTGTCGCAGAATACTTCTGCTGGCTTTCCTAATCTGGATACAAACCTACGGAAGGTGAGTATAAACGCATCCTTCGTTAGATCGGACACGGCCTCTAAATAATGTATGCACTTATATCTTAGACAAATGAAGAGACAAAGATATGATTTTACTAATTTCGAACCACGGCCCTTTCTATTTAGAGTAAGAAATGGACCTGCAAGGTCTATACCAACAGTTTTAAATGCGAAGTTTGGAGTAACACGCTGCGACGGCATGTTTCCCATTATTGAGTCAATAGTTTTTCCTTGTATTCGTCTATACGTATAACATTGACGTATTGTGCGCCGTGCTAAATGTCTACCATTGACTGGCCAAACAGATTCTCTTATTATCGACAACAATAGTTGTGGGCCAGCATGTAAATTGTGTCTATGCTCATATTCAAAAATTAATTTGGTTAAGTGATGAGATGAGTGCATGAGAACGGCATATTTTTTATCGTAGGCAAATTCTGAAGCATCTAAGCGGTCACCCACTCTAACCACGTTAAACTTGTAATCAAAAAATGGCGATAATGATAAAATATTAGATTTTGTAGTGATAGATTTTTCGTTTGCCAACAAATTATACTCTAAAGGAAATGACTGCTGTTGACCTAAGCGACACAAGTGATAAAGTTAATTACTTTGTGCCTATACGGTTAAACTACCAGAAATACGATAAATAAAACGTAATATTTATGCAACTGAATGTTTTAATTTTAATAATTTTGAATAGTTTTCAAACAAAATTATACAATTTTGATTAATAGTTACATGGGCCGAAATTGTGTTATGTTTGGTCTCCGGCAGGTCTCTTGAATTAAATTGTTGTGTTTTGATAACAAAGGCCAATTATTCAATATAAACATGATCGACCACAAACAAAATCTTTTGTTTGCACCAGTGAAATATATAGTTGAAAATAATAATATCAATTCTTTCTCGAGTGTGGTTTGTCGCGTTGATCATAGAATTTATGATTGCGCTAAATTTAAAGCTAAAAGTGTACATTATCGCATATCTGAAGTTAACAAATTGAGGTTATGTTTAAATTGCCTACGCTATGGCCATAGCGTGCGTCATTGTAGATTAGGTCCATGCCGCGAGTGCAAAAAAAGACATAACACTCTTTTGCATATACCACTTCCAAGTGATAAAGGTTCTGATAAGAATGTTACTACATCCTGTGCTACTATATCGGAAGAAACCGTAGTCAACTTTTTTCAACAAAACTCGACATGTGTTTTACTGTCTACCGCAATAATCGAAATATCAAATCCAAATACAAATAAATCTATACGAGTGAGAGCGCTATTGGACTGCGGTAGTCAGTCATCTTTCACAACTCAATCTCTCAAAGAAAAACTATCGTTACAATCATATAGCAACAATGTCATCAATATTGTGGGCATTGGAAATAACCATACCAATAAAGCCATTGAAAGTTGTGTAGCACAACTTCATTCATTAACTGAACCTTTCAAGGTCAATCATTTTTTTCTTGTGTTACCGGAGCTTACAGACAATATTCCTAAGTTCCCTATTGATATACAACAATTAAACATACCCAATAATATAAAACTTGCTGACCCTACGTTTAAACATTCTGCGCCTATTGATATACACATTGGCGCCGAACTGTTCTGCAAGCAAATCACGCTTGGCCCTAACAATCCTAAACTTAGAAGTTCCAAATTCGGATGGTTGATTTCAGGTCCTTATACAAATTCATTTCATAAATCTAATGATATTACTCAATGTCATCTTTTAGCTACATTATCAAATTCTGGTTTTGATTACAATAATATCAATACGCAAATGTCCAAATTCTGGGAACTAGAAGAAGTTCCACTAAAACATCATTTAAACCCCAAGGAGAAGGCATGTGAAGCTCATTTTATTAATCACACCTTTCGCCTTGAGTCAGGTAGATTCTCTGTCAGTTTGCCCTTAAAAGATTCACCAGACTATTTGGGTGAATCTTATACTCTCGCCAAAAAACGCTTACTCACTTTAGAAAAACGATTTAGAAAACAGCCAGACGTCAAATTACAATACATAAATTTTATACGAGATCAAGACTGACACCTCTAGAAATGAGATCTGCTGGATTTAAATCAGTCAGTACATTTCGCCACGAAGCTAGGTCTGTATGTTCACTAATTTCGTTAACTCTATTTGCAACAAATGTTTTAAGATTTTGATAGCTACTATTAAGCCAGCCCAACACCACACTAGAATCACACCAGTGAGCCTCACGTTGTATCTGACATCGCAAAGAAGTCTTAACAGCCTCACATAGCTTGGCGGCTAATAAAGCAGCACAGAGCTCTAGCCTGGGGATTGTAATGGGCTTGATTGGAGCTACCTTAGATTTAGAGCATAGGAGTCTGACAGTGATCTCATTTTTGGAATTTACAGACCGGAGGTAAATGCAAGCTCCGTATGCATGTTGGGAGGCGTCACTAAAAGAATGAAGTTCTATTGAGATAGGTTCATCGCATAAAGTGCGCCTTGGAATTTTTAGTTTTAAGAGCGCAAGTAAAGCATGAATATTTGTCCAAGCACTCCTAATCACAGTTGGCGCAGGATTGTCCCAGCCTAGCTTCTCTTGCCATAACTGTTGCAAGAGTATCTTGCTTTGTATAATGTATGGGCTTAATAATTCCAAAGGATCAAAAATTATGAACAATCATGACAATATAACCCGTTTAGTAATATTGTTGTTATGAGACGGTTGAGAGCTTTGGATAGGAAAAAATAATTCATCAGTAGTAGGCTCCCATCCTATTCCCAAAGTGCTAGTTGATTCACTCAGGGTTAAATTATCATCGTTCGTGGAAATTAATGAAAAAATTAAAGGTAAGTTAGTTTTGAATTTTCTTAAATTGAAACAGCCACGTTTGAGTGCTGATGTAACTGGTTGTTGAATATAAATTAAAGTCTGTTCGTCATCACTACCGGTAATTAAATCATCAATTAGAAAATCATGTTGTATTATAGTTTTTATTCTTTCAGTTGAGCATTCTTCACCTAGTTGCCAAAGACATCGTGTGCTTAAGTAGCTAGAACTCGCCATGCCATATGTAACCATGTTAAGAGTGAGAGTTTTGATAGGCAAAGACTCATCTTCCTTCCATAATATCAGTTGCATATTTCTATCCTGCTCATGTATAAGTACCTGCCGATACATTTTTTCTACGTCGCCGGTTAAGAGATATTTGTGTTGACGTGCTCTGATAAGAATGGAAAACAAACGGTCTTGTAAATTTGGGCCTACTATAAGAATGTCATTGAATGACCAGATGATGTAGGAGCCGAACCATCAAAGACCACTCTGATCTTTGTTGATTCACTGCTATTTTTAAATACAGCATGATGACATAGAAAATATGAAGGAGTTGGTTTAGAAATTGTTGATTCGGATCGGATTAATGAATGAAGTTGTGCTACACAACTTTCAATGGCTTTATTGGTATGGTTATTTCCAATGCCCACAATATTGATGACATTGTTGCTATATGATTGTAACGATAGTTTTTCTTTGAGAGATTGAGTTGTGAAAGATGACTGACTACCGCAGTCCAATAGCGCTCTCACTCGTATAGATTTATTTGTATTTGGATTTGATATTTCGATTATTGCGGTAGACAGTAAAACACATGTCGAGTTTTGTTGAAAAAAGTTGACTACGGTTTCTTCCGATATAGTAGCACAGGATGTAGTAACATTCTTATCAGAACCTTTATCACTTGGAAGTGGTATATGCAAAAGAGTGTTATGTCTTTTTTTGCACTCGCGGCATGGACCTAATCTACAATCACGCACACTATGGCCATAGCGTAGGCAATTTAAACATAACCTCAATTTGTTAACTTCAGATATGCGATCATGTACACTTTTAGCTTTAAATTTAGCGCAATCATAAATTCTATGATCAACGCGACAAACCACACTCGAGAAAGAATTGATATTATTATTTTCAACTATATATTTCACTGGTGCAAACAAAAGATTTTGTTTGTGGTCGATCATGTTTATTAATTGATCCCAATGGACCTGAATTTTTATTAATTGTACTAGATGAATTTTGCAGTGACTCAAGTGAAAAATTTATGAAATTGTTGCAAATTAGGATCATCATCGAGCATGCTACGCCACTCCTCCCATTTAGCTTGAGTTCGGCTGTCTAGTCGCGAACTCATAATATGCACGATCAGAACATCCCACTTATCATATGCCCTAAACTGGCTAACGCGCGCAAATTTTTTGTGACGTGATCAACCATAAATCGAAGTGACATAACTGATTCTCGTGATAATCTTTGAAGACTTAATAAAGAATTTAAATGGTGACTGATAAGTTGCCGTTTGTTGTTATAGCGTTCACACAATAAATTCCAGGCAGTTATGTAATTAGCACTTGATACTTCCAAATTCAAAATGATACGAGATGCATCGCCCTCTAAATAAGAAATTAGGTAATGAAATTTGTGTATAGGTGGGATACGCTCGTTATTAGGAATAAGCGATAAAAATGTGTCACGGAATACGAGCCAGCGAAAGTACGCTCCGTCAAATTTCGCGATTTGAATTTGTGGCAATTTAAAATTAACCTCGCGATGTTCATTACAACCAGCTGAAGAACAGCTACCAAAATTAGGTTCGTTATTGCACTCCTTAGTAGAAATTTTCGATTGGCACCCTTTTATAATATTTTGAGCAATAGCAATGTTCGAAAAAAACAATTGTTCAATATTGTCAAGTTCATAAATTTCGCTATCTAAGTTAATTGAGCTTAACACCTCTATCTGATTTTGCAAGTCATCAAATTTATTTAATAACGATTCAAATTTGTTAAGTTTTAACGTTAATTCCGATAATTCAATTGCGGTTAAATTTTCTCTTGATGATAAATTAGCCAAATAATTTTTAAATTTCGTAATTTGTCCCCTTATAGCACTACGTTTTACTAGCAAATCTTGCAAATTTTGCATGTCTTTAGCACTTGTTTCAGTAGCCAAATCTTTATTTTTGTACATATTTTAAAGTTAAAATTGCAAGTAAAATATTTAAAAAAAATGAAAATTTAACCTAAAAAGTTTAAGTTAATTTTAATATCTTAAATCAGTTTAATTAAATTTGTAAAGAAATAAATAAATAATGTTATGATGAAGGACAATAAAAAATAAAAACAGAAATTTTAGGCGTCACCTGGTAGGCAGAAGTAGCAATTGTTGCAATTGTTGCGCTGCAACGGTAATGTACGATCACAGCTCGTACCCTGGAATGTTCGGCAAATTGTGGTGAAAAGTCTAGAAATAATATGTATGAAGGGGAGATAATATGTACGGGATAAAACGATAAAAATTTTCGTAATGAACAAAGAAATGTAATGATATGAAAGTACCCACTTTTGAAAAAAAATATTGAAAATTGTTAGAATTGTATAGAATATGACAATTATATTGTTGAATTTAATATATAAGTATTGAAAATATAACGTAATGTATTGCAAATAAACACACAAGTAGAAATAAGGATAAAATGGGAATTTAGGGTTGTATAGACGGGAATTTATAGGAAGACACTTAGCTGCATTGGTCTGGCTGCGGAGCGACGCTGATGGCTGATCACTGTCCGGCGATGACTGCAATGGCTTATTCTTCGAAATATCCCGTGGTAAAAAGTTTTTGGGACGATAGGTGGCTGCGGTGTAATAATTGACCGGCGTCCTAACCGTCTTGAAAATTCGTCTTATTTTTTGATATTTTGTCCTGTCACGGTCGCCAATTTTTTATGTCTCGTATTGGACATAAATGCAAACATGGAGTCTGATAAAATATTTAATATATTTGCAGGTTCACAATTTAATATAAAAATAGGTGAGAGCGATGTTCTTCGTAAGACGGATGAATGATTTGTGTGTTGAGGTGGGGGGACAAAAATTACACTTGACGTATAATGTTCAATAAAACGTTAGGCGCAGACATACCCTAATACATTTTTCGGATCTTGCAATTAACTTATGTATACCCTCAAAAATGATTTGTCTTTGTCTAAAAAATACGCCGAAACTGCTTCCTTCACTTCTTCATCACTTAAAAACTTTTTCCTACGAAGTTCTTTTTTATGTTTGGAAATAGATAATAATCACTGGGGGCCAGGTCAGGACTATATGGTGGGTGTTGCAAAATAACGAAGCCCACCTTCTCCAGGGCAGCCATCGCAACATGGCACTTGTGAACAGGCGCGTTGTCGTGCAGAAGAAGGATTCCTTTGGTCAATTTTCCCCTTCTTTTCTCCTTTATGGCTTCCTTCAATTGTTCTAAGATTAAAGCGTAGCAATTTCCGGTTATGGAGACACCTCTATCTGAGTTCCAAAAGAATGTCGCCATGGTTTTTTCAGTCGATTGTGCCACCTTAAATTTCTTGGGTGGTGGTGTGCCTTTTTTGTGCCACTGCATAGAGTCCTGTTTCGACTCAGGTTCATAATGGCGAACCCAAGTTTCGTCACCAGTAACAATTCGAGCCAACACTCCATCTTTGTCTTCCATAAAGAGGTTCAACTATGCACGAGAACACTCCACGCGCTGTTGCTTTTGAGGCGGCGTGAGCATTCTAGGCACCCATCTTGCGCTGACTTTAGTCATGCCAAGATGGTCATGAAGAATTATGAAAATGGTTGTATCTAATACTGCAACCATTTATGTGAGCTATTTTTTCTTGAGGCGGGCATCTTCTAATATTAATTTTTCGATTTTTTGAATAATTTCCGAAGTGGTTACCTCGATCGGCCTTCCTGGCCGTGGGTCGTCTTCGAGTGACTCTCTGCCTTGTTTATAAAGGGTATGCCACTTGTAAACCATAGTTTTACTTGGACAAGAGTCTCCGTAAACGGATGACATCTCTTCCAGTATAGTCTAAACTGATTTTCCGCGCTTGGTAAGGAACTTTATATCGGCACGGAACTCGATTTTCTCCATATTTCACAATTTCTTCTCGATTGACTTGTTTGGTTGACGATAACTCAAAGACTTATGATCTAAGTACAATAAAACCCGGTATTTATACTAATAATGTCAT